GTAGTGTGCTTTGGTTTGCCAGAGAAGAAGACCAGGACATTGCTTTGGAATGAGTCCTGTCAGCCCAGTCTTCCTGATGATGGGGACACTCACTGATATCGGGCACAGCATTCCTGACAGCCTATTTCTAGTTCCTGACCCGTTTCCTCAGGCTGCAAAATTAGCGGGGGCCAGCTTATCTGGGACCTCATATCCAGAAAGTGAAAGAACAGGCATACAGCCAAAGCCAAAGTGGGAGGCAGGGGTTAATTCAAACCTAGAGTAGGGGATAGAGTGCATTTTGTGGTGCTTCACATTGACGGTTATAAAAAGGAATTTATTCCGCTGGAGGTGAGGAGAATACCACAATGGAGGAGGAGGTTGCTTCTTTTAGGGAAGGGAGAAAGGCCAGCAGCTGAAGACAAGTGCACAGATTTCAGTTTAGATGCACAGTGTAATGCACTGAGAATGGGGCTTATAAGGGTTAACGTGCTTCCATTTCATATGACATCTGTTATCAGAAAACAGTGATCAATTCGCCCCATTCTTTATTTAGGAATGCCATTTTTTTCAGCATCCATTATGGGACAGCAGAATGTACACAGAAAATAAAAGTACAGAAAAATTGGAAAGCCTGGAGGACAACATGCTCAGATTTACCTCGGGACACAAAGAGATTTCTTTCACATCAGAAGTATGATACTGTACCCTACCCTGGCAAAGGGATGTACTGTGATCTAAAAGGTCTCTTCCCTTGCTAACTGCTGCACTGATATTAAAATCATCATGTAAATTAGAAAGACAGAATCTCTCTTATTCATAGGAGAGATTCTGTTCATCTAATGTAGCATACTGGTGATGTTTTGGGTAAAGGGATACATTAATAAGAAAGGCATTTTGTTAGGAAGTATTGAAGTTGCAACTTAATTCCTGAACCAATCTGTTGAAGGAAATAACTACCTTAACTAAAGTACATTTTCCTTTTATGCCCGCTTAATTTCTACTTTAAACGTTCCACTCGTACTCTAAGCTCTACCAGTGAATTTAAATGGGGATTCACTATATGTTTAGTGCATTCAAGAATTCTTTGTTACAGTTCCCACCCTGCTGCATTATGTGAGCTCTGCCACGGAAGTCCAGCAGTCGGTTTGTTTTCTGCTATTAATAAAAGAAGCTACTTTTTTCCACTTCTTTGAAGAAGTTGAAAGGGCTATATGTCAGAGGGGGAGGTGGTGGGGAACAGATTGTGGTGTAATCCCCAAACGCAAATGCTGTCTAGATTAGAAACCTCCCTGAAGAAAATTTACAAATGCTAAGACTGTGCTTTTTGTGTGAGGAACACTAGAGCAATAACTTAGCCACATACTGGGTTTTGCCTACTGCTTAGGGAGCCTACTAGGTGAAAGGAATTAAATGAAGGGGGAAAAATCTTCCAGTTGGGTCTTTGTTCTGATGCCATCCATTCCTTTCAGTATCCAGTGACTTACCAGTAGAACTATTTTGATATGTAGTTCATCACTGAAGTATTCTTATATAATTCTGAGGGAATCTATTAAAGTAAAACCCACCAAATGGGATTTACCCATTGTCAGTATTTTTACAGAGTCCAGGAAAAGCTCATTTAAAAGGGTGGGACATTTTACATTGTTTTCCCTTCACACCTCATCATGCACAAGGAAAAACTATTCAGCAAAACTATATTAATTTCTTTTGCTACTTAAAAATAAATAAATCAGAAGCAAATGATTACCGCAAAGAATGATAGCCCTGTTACAATCACTAATGGGCAGAAGTAAAACCCAAAATCTGTTTTTTTCCCCACAGGATACTTGTATTCATCTAACCATCATTATTGTATCTACTTTATCACACAATTACAAACTAATCCTTAATTCCGAAACAAACAGGAACAAGAATGAAGATGCCAATGCAGAAAGTCTATGAGAGAAACTTCAGTGCATAATCAACTATATGATTTTTAAATCCCACTTAGATCAAGTTAAAAATTCTTATACAAATAACATAGTTTTGTCACTGTTGATTTAAGGAATCTTATATTCACTTAATCTCAATTGCCTCCATATTCCACCTGTTACCAGGCCATTGTAAGTAAAAAGTAGCTTTACATACAACTTAATATTACTAGATTAATGTATTTCATCTGATAAGGATGAATCTAATGTTACGGAGGGCTAGAAAGATGCAGCATTCAATGAAAACTGAAGATGCCTCATTGTAAGTAACAAATGATGGAAGATATTACCAAGGGGATGTCTCCCACAGATGCCTTGTTTAGACAAAGGGACTTTAAATGAACCTACACAGCAAAATTAATGTAGTCCCAATATTTATCTGGTGCTTGAGTGATACAATTTACTTGACAATTGTTTATGGGATCCTCTCTTTTGAATGTAAATTTGCTTTTTTCTAACAATGTTTGTAATGTCAAGGGGTTTTATATATAACATTGACTTTGGAAAGTTGGTCTCTTTTCTGGGTTGCAGATGGAAATAGCTGCATTTCAGGGTTAAATTAAGTACCCAGTCAGGAACGGAGTATAGTCACCATATGGACAAATCAAAATGATGGCTACATTTACTGCCTACAGATATTTTTGTTGCACTGCATCTTAAAGTGGTGAAAAAAGCTGTGAGTTAGTGAACCATTGATGTGCCGATTTTCATTACCCATGTAAATGGATAACATCTTCTGTCAAACTTCATTGATATATTTCATCAGATGAATAGGAATAATCCCTAAAATGTAATAATTGTAGATTCTTGTGATACAGTTTAAGGTAGACTATCCTTTCCTCCAATTCCAACGGTAATTAACCTGGACTGCAATTCCCCAGACTCATGTAGCATTCTTCTAGACAATATTAATGGATCCTAAAGTTTATAAGGTTTGGAAAGGAATCCTCACTGGTAGATTTAACACTATATATACAAAGGTATTAAGGACTTTCGGGTTAATGAATGGTACTGATCAACTCACACTTGGCATGAGCCATAAACACATTTTATTTTGGTATAACATGAAAAGTGTTGTCTTTGTTGAAACTGAAAATGCTTAAAAATGACATTCTGGAAAATGTGTGTCCCCCCTATTAAGATTAAAAGTGAAAATATATGATTATCATGATAATAACCCAATTGTACATGGCAGACAAAAGAAAAGCTAATACTTCCCCTTGCTTTTTGACTGATGTTTTTGTTGGGCTCCAGCTAAACAGCACTTTAAGTTGACAGTAAATTAGCAAACAATATGAAGGAAAAGGGGAGGAAGGAGGAAAATCATGCAGGGGTTAAGATGTTTATGTAAAACAGTGATTTTCCTTTTTAAAATTAAAACGTACAAATAAGCTGGTGTCAGGGGCTAGGTGATCCTTCATTTCCACCGCATTGAGCAGGCTCACATCAGCAGCAGACAGCCGTTAATATATGCGTCTGGCTCAGTCTGGTCTACCAACTAGGAATTCATCGAATTGTTAATATCACTCCTTTTTTGTATGCATCACACATCATTTTCTCTCTCTCTCTCTCTCTCTGTTGCTAGTAGGGTTTTTTTTTTAAAGCTGTAGCATGAGCTGATTACCCAAAATCACATATTATATAGCATTTAGAAAATATTATACTGCAACAGAAAAGGTAACAGACACATGAATGAATACACATTTATTTATATATATATATAGAGAGAGAGAGAGAGAGAGAGAGAGAGAGAGAGAGAATGTGTATGTGTGTGTGTGTGTATACATTTTTGATATATAAATCATAAGCACAAAAGATCTGTTTGCTGCCATGCAGCTAATAAAGAGAAGTAATACATGCTGCCAAAGTATAAATAAGACTGCATTCTATAGGCTGTCTGTGGGCTTGATCATGCAGTCTGGACATAGGCAAAAAGTCTCACTGACCTCAATGGATGTTTTGCCTGAGTAAAAGACTGGGCTATATATTTTTATGAAGGCTTTAACATGTGCCAGTTCTTAGTTTGGCATTGTTTGAATAGGAAAAAAGGCTTAGCGTGCTCTAACTTTTTCTCCCTTTTCCAAGGGCCAGTGGTGAATAGAGTGGGTATAGAATACCAACTATACTATCAGAGTTCAAGCAATTACTGCAGATCCAGTATTCTGCCCCCTTCACTGGATTCATGTTTTTGGTGTAACACTAAATAAGCCACACAGGGTTATTTTCTGGATTCATTTGATCACCATTGTCATTTACAGAAAATATTTGGAATCTTTGTGTTATTAGTTCATGACTGAGACAGGTGAAAAATGCAGCATCTAATGTCTTTTTTTTACACTTAAGGATAATTGTAAAATGAATCACAGACATGGACAAATTAGATATGAACTAATCACATTCAAGAAAATTGTGCTTATACATAAATGCACTACAGATCCCTCATGTATACATATATGTGCATTATTTATCTGATAAATGAAGCATAATCAGGATTTGTACTTTGGAAAATGTTATGCATATTTTAAATACCATAGTTATTATATATCAGCATGTCTATACCACCCACAATATATTTAGATCTCACTATATAGTTTATCAGGGTAGAATACCTGTTCACCTGATCAACGCCTTTAATATTGTTTTTAAAACAAGTCAGAGAATCTATTATGTATAATAAAGTCAATTGCTACCGAAGTGCCTCATCACTGCATCACCCAGGTTTGATATTTTAGTTTTGCGTACTCAGATTTAGATCTACTCCTCTCAGATTACATAAATAGAAACCATCATAGGTCAATACACCTTTCTTTAAAAGAATTACTAGTACATCTAGGATGGATCAAATGTTTCCATGCAACTCTTGAGTGTTCTGAGCATGCAAGATTGATGGCTTTATGAAGAAAATAATTTCATCTTTATTAGAAACTATGTCATCTTTGGGATAGGTAAGAATTTTTTTTAAAGTAAAGCTTTAACTGTAGTTTTAGTAACTTGATTGAAAACTATACAAAGCGTGGTTTGTTTTGTAAGAAAATAGGACAACAAAACTTTGAATTATTCTGTTTAATAATAATTTATTTTAACAATAGCATTACAATAAAACACAATTCCTCCCACATACGTGGAAAAAATAAACTGGAGCCAAAATATCATTTTCAAAATGACCAAATTGTTTAGATGCTTGCCCTAAGTAAAGCCTTTGTTTCAATCAGTGAAGTGTGACATTAGTACACTATTAACAGGGTGCTGCACCATCTTGGGTTAGATACAGGAAACAAACAAAAATTAATCAGGACCAAACTACTTATAAAATATTAAGAAATACAGTCAAATGTTCTGTGTTCTGGTTCAGCACTTTAGGAGTGATAGACATTACAAAGTAGCTGTGTCCTGGTAAATCTTATGCTGAAGTCACTGAAGTATTCAGCATATGGGGACAACACAACAGTTAGTCTGTTTTTATAAGTGAAAAGTAAAAAGTGAGGGAAGAGACTAAAGTTTGAGCCTAATTCCTGGTGTCCGGTCTTCTCTGCTGAGATACAGTAAGTAGATGAAAAGTATGTAGTTCTGTGTGCAAAGTGACTTCAACACAGCATTATGAATTTGACACCAGCTTTCTCTTTTCTTTCAGAGTAAGAGGTTAATACACCAAATGAGAACCTGTATTGTATTATTATATAGACTAAGAGAAATAGTAACAACTATAAAGGAATCTCTGCACTGCCTTACAGGAAAAGAGAAGCAACAGTTTTCTTGCATGCTCAGATTATTACCCCAAAGACAACAGTATGAATGCATTTGCTAGGCCTCACAGATCAATATATAATTTGTAAAGTTTCAAAAAGTTCATTAAATATTATAGCAATACATTTGGAAAGGTGTTTTGTTTTATTATCCACCAGAAGGATCCATAATAGCAAATTATGGTTGAAAACAGTGCATTTATCCTTCAGTACTTGATTTTTTTATGTAGATATCTGTCATTCGTTTTAAATTTTAATTTGAAATGTTACATGTTATCCACTACAATATAGGTTTCCAAACATACAAATTATGTAGAATCTTTATATTGTACAATACATAGCAGCAATTTTTTTGTAGCATAACACTAATATTTAACATCTGAAATAAATATTTCCCCCCAGATAAGAAAATCTCCTCTGGTTCTGTTAATATTGCAGATAAACAATCAATAAAGTCCAAAGCTGCTGGTTCCCCTCCGCCTAGGTCCCAAGAGCCTGACTTGTGATTGTTGCTAAAAAACCTCACAAGTTAGGGTCTCAGGGACTAGGAAAAGTCCGATATGATCCAGTAGAATTCTTCTTCAAATAATCTGAATCACTTAGTCGTCAAGATTACATTCAGTAAAACTTTTGTTGCTGTTGTATAAAAAACCCACCTTTTCAAGTAGGGGTTGGAAAAGATCAAATAAGTAGACAATATACACACAGACATTCAAAACAATAATATCAGCTGATTGATCAAGACGCTTCTTAGAACAGATTCCACAACTTTGGAAAAAAGGAGTACAAATAAAATCTTTACTATTCTGACTCATGAGTAGCCATAGTATACAATACATCAGAAGGATAAGTCTATAAATGGGTTAAAGTCTGCTTGCAGCAGATTTGTACAGTAAATGTTTTATTCTATTTCCTCTAATGCCTTAAAGAAGGATTAAATGCTTGTTAATGGGTTTCTAATTGAAATATTTCCCCATTATACCTCTACAGTAAGGTGGGCCCTAGGATATACAGCACTTTAAACCCATCCTCAGTGCAAGGATAACTTTCGGGCATCTATTTGCTTTTTGCCTCTTCCCCATATTCAACATTTAATCCCATTACAGGCTGATATTAACAGTTTCTTCTTTTCCAAACTCAAAACTATCTTTCACTCCTTAAACTGTAGCCATTATTGACATGCAAAGATTGTCGTTATTTGAGTCAAGTCACTTGAACCACCTACAACTTTTAAACATTGTTGATAGAGTAAGAAAACTGATCATATTTCCCAAATCATTTTGTTCTGAAGCTGAAAACTTTTAATGGCACGACCGCAATCCTGAATTAGATTCACATTCATTCTCCTCCAATCTTTAGCCTTGCTTGCGGGATGGAAAAGAACATTTCTACTTTAGGGATGGATCCACGATGTTTTTTCAGAACCCAGAGCAAAAGAATCAGTGGCCATAAAGGTCCTGGCCACTGAAGTAGAATCTGGTATAGAAAATTCAATGCTCTTCAGGAAGCGGTTCAGCTTTAAAGGGAAAAAGAGAAGAAGGGGGGGAAAGAATTAGAATATATGCTAGTAGAACAGGTGAATCATCCATTTACAAGTAAGCTGTACAGAAAGCTATGCTGAAGAAAATATTTGCTAACTGCCTTACTACCCTCTTGCCCTCCCTCACTCTTCTCTCCAAATGTTACCTCAGATTTCAATACATCTTGGATTACTTTAAATATTTTGGTCAGTGATATAATGCAACATTATATAGGAGCTTTTCTTTGTCATTTGGTATGCACTATTCAATCAGTTATGCCTTAGACACTAACTAGTTAAATGAAACAATAAAAAAAAAATCCAAGCATTCCCTAGATTTCATTCCATGCTTTTTTAAAAAAAATTGAGCATGGTTTTCCAAGCAATTTTTGACCACGGCTTTCAAACCAATAATTAGAATGAAAAATCTCTCCCCTCTATAAATATGACATTAACATAATTACACCACCCCCATCACATAGACCCATCCTCCTTAGGGAATACATCTGATGCTCTGAAGATGGAAATCAGTCAGTTTTTAGTTGCTCTCAAACGTACCTTTGCTTCTCACTGACTGACTCGCTTTTACCTTCCACGCACACGCACACAGCCACAGACACACACACACACAGACACACACATGCGCGCACACACAGACACACACAAAAAGGCAAGGCAAAGCAGCGGATGCTGACTCAGAGCGGTTGTGTGTGGAGGGGGTGGTATCGGCTGGTATTTTCACTGCACTCATCATTAACATTAACTCACTGTCTAGCATCCACCCTCTCTCAGACCTGCTGGACTGCAGCATTTGCATGACGCTGTCACTCTAGCCCTTGCAGGTCAGATGTTGGAAGGATAAAAAAAAAAAGCCTCAAGGCTCTCATAAGAAATGCCTTCATTTCTTCCAAAGGGTCCCTCTTCTTATTTTTCCACCTTTCTACTTCCTCTGTTGCTGTGTCTCAGTTGTTTGACATCTTTCCGGAAGAAAATGTCTTGAGCTGCAATAAGCCAGTAGTCAGTCGGTCCTCCCCTCACCTCACACTCCTATTCCCTCCCCCTTTTTCTCCTAATCAATAAGACAGATCTCCAAATGCAGTTGTGAAAACAGGCTCTGACACACAGACTTTCATCCTCGATCCTCTGCCTCAGGAATAGCAGGCAACCCAGGCTCACACGTGATGTAGGGAGAAATAATGCCAGCAATTCTTTAACAGTCTTAGAGTTCATTCTACGCCTTCTTCATTTTTTTCCTTTGCTTGAATAAATATTGATGCAAAGGACATAAGCTGCTGGGATCCAGAATTTTCTCCTATTTTTTGTTGAATAATGAAAATGAAAATTTCTAATTTTAATGTGAATCCAAATGATTGCTTTTTAAAAACTAGTTGTACTCTCACTTGGTAGGAATTATATTATTTTAGCCAAATCATTGCCAAGATCTGAATCACCAATACGGTGTTGAAATCATAAATTGCTGGATTTAAATCAATGCCTCACAAGACATTAGTCATTCTTTATTTTAGACCTCCTTATACAAAATAGCGTGTGTGTGTGTGTGTGTGTGTGTGTGTGTGTGTGTGTGTGTGTGTGTGTGAGGAGAGAGAGAGAGAGAGAGAGAGAAGAAGAAGAGA